AAAAAAAAAAAAATTCTGTAGCAAAATATGAGTATGACTTTAATGTCCATCTCTTGGTTTCTTGCCTTCAAGGCTGCCTAAGAAATTTCAAGATGTCACTGTTGGTTCTTATGATGTAATTCAGGATTTAATTTTCAGCCTGTTTCCTTTTTAGTCTGTCTCACTCCCACTCCACAACGCTGGTTCAGGCCTTTTTCCTAGTTATTAACAGATTAGGGCCAGCTGTATCTACTTTGTGATGCCATTTGGTTTTAAGCAGAACCTTTCCCCTTCTTAGAGTTTGCTGAGCAGGTCTGTGAACATGCATAGTAGGACCCTCCTGGGGCCAGCGGGTGTCCAATCACTCAGGCAGCCCCTATAGTCACCAGAATGGAAATGCACAGGCAGCAAGAGACCAATGAACAGAGAAAAGAAAAGAAAAAAATAATGTCCACACCTTTATTTCTGAGGATGGGTCAGACGTCTGCTGTAGGAGCACTACTCTTATAGCTTAACTCTTAAAAGTGTACATAAAATCAGGACCTTCAAGTAAAAGCATGGAACTTTTATCCCACCTTACCTAGAAATTGTTGTCTGTCTGACCGCCGCTTCAAACTCAGCTTCACCAGGTCTGCAGGGACGTTGGGTAAGCTGGCTGCCTCCAGGTAGGTCTCGATTGCACCCCGTAGCAACTCATTGCTCCTCCTCTTCTCAGCTAAGTCATCTTCACACTAGAGGAAATTCCATACTGGGTAAATGTTACCTGACTAGCTATGGTTATAATTATACCAAGTATTCAAAAGAACGACATTTTAAACTTTTGGAGTAATTCAAGTAAAATATTAAATTTTTGTCTTCCTAGACAAGAACAAACAAAAGAAAGCAACACATCACACTACTTTTATAATATGAAGAGAAGTTAGCTACTACGTTATAGATGAGAAAGAGCATAACAAAAGTAAGACTAATATATACTAGGGCACATGGAAGTTTCTATCATATTATACATCACAGGATCACAAGCATACCCCACTTAACAGTGCTTTGCTTTACTGCACTTCACCAACAGATTGTATTGTTTACAAACTAAAGGCTTGTGGCAGCCCTCCATCAAACAAGTCTATCAGCACAATTTTCCAATAGTATGTGTTCACTGTGTTAGACCACATCCTACAATCACATCAATTAGGTGTTAAAAGAATCATTTTGGTAATTCTCAGAATATTTCAAGCTTTTCCACAATTTTATTGCACAATTAATAGACTATGGTATAATATAAACATTTACATTCACTGGAAAACCAAATAAATGTGTGACTTCCTTTATGGCAGAATAAATATTTTGTGGTGGTCTGGAACTAAACCTGTAATACTGCTGAGGTATGCCTGTATATAGACAATGTTCTAGTTCACATCTCCTGTTCATTATTTAGTTCATTTGTTCATTCATTCACTCAAATATTTCCTAAGGGTCTTCCATAAGCCAGTCACTGTTCTAGGCATATGGAAGACAAATTGAGCCAAACAAGCAAAACCTTTGTCTCATCTCACTTAAATTCTGAAATGGATGGAAATACAATATACAAATACAAGTATCATGTGTTTGATATCCACAAGTGCTATGGTTAAAAAAAAAAGGAACCTTAGTAGTGTTAGATGCTGGGGGATATAGGAAGAGACATGCTAGTTTAATCAGGATAATCTAGAAAGAATTGAAAGAAGTGAGGCAGTAAGACATGAGGGTATCTGGAAGAAGAGCTATATTGAGTGAAACTAAAAAGAAGAAAAGCTCTGAGGAATGAGTGAGCTACAGAGGAGTTCAATTTGGTGGAGTGGAGGGACTAAGGTTAGTGTGGGGTACAGCAGAAAATGAAGGGCCTGGTAAAATATCGTTATGAAGCAGTGGTAGTTCAGTGGCAGAATTCTTGCCTTTCATACGGGTGACCTGGTTTCAAATTTTAGCTAATGCACCTCATATGCAACCATCATCTGTCTGTCAGTAGAGAGTTTTATGTTTCTAATATGTTATTGGATTCCCAGTGTGGCATTGTACGATAATGCACTGGACCATCAGGTCTGCTTGAACCACAAGCCTGGCAGTTCAAACTCACCAGTCGCTCCTTGGAAACCCTATACAGGGTAACTATTATAAGTAGAAACCGACTCAATGACACTTAACAACATTATGCTATTATGCTACACATTTATGTATTCCTATTATGCTGAATGGGAGTGCGGTGGTTCTAAATGATAAGCACTGGACTATGAACCACAAAGTCCATCGTTCGAGCCCACCAGTCACTTTGTGGGGAAATGATAAGAATTTTGCTCCTGTGAAGATTTAAAGCCTCAGAAATCTTATACAGGGTCACTATAAGTTGGAACCGACTCTGTGACACCAAACAATAACAACATTATGCTGAACAGATTGAAATTAGCTTCCAGAAGAAGACAAATGAGAAAGAAACTTTAGATGAACTTCAGAATTAGGCTGGTGATCTACTTCTGTAAACTAGCTAATGAAAATCCTATGAGTCACAGTGGTCCCACACATAACCCATCATGAGGATGGTGCAGAACTGAGCATTGTTTTCTTCCACTGTGCAGAGGCCCAACTTGATAGTAGTTATCAACAACAGCAACAAGTTATTGTCAATTCTTTGACACTAACTCTAAGGGAAAGGAGCTCTGGTAGCGTAGTGGTTACAAATCGGGCTGCAAACCTTAAGGTCAGTGGTTCGAAACTACCAGCTGCTCCGCAGGAGAAAGATGAGGCTTTCTACTCCGGTAAAGATTTACACCCTCAGAAACCCTGTACAGGTTCACTATGGGTCAGAACTGACTCGACGGCACTTAACAACAACAACAACTCTAAGTGAAACTGGAAAGATACTTGGATGGTCTGATTTATGTTTCAGAGAGATCACAATGGTAAGGAGAACAGATTGAGGGGGTAAGGTTGGAAGCAGAAATGTTCTGAACAGAATCTAGCCATGAGGTTATAGTACTTGTATAAGGTTGGGAGCAATGGAGGTAATAAGAAGTGGCTGGATTACAAATGTATTAGAAAGAGCATAGTAAACATATTTGTTAATTGACTGAATGTAGGGTATGAAAAACAGGGAGCAAAATAATTGATGAATTCAATGTTATTGGCTTGGGTGATACAATTGCCATTCACTGAGAATGGGAACGTAAGATAAGCAGATGTGCTATTATTGCTTAGTGTGACTGAATCATTTTTGATGCAAAAGTGACTCCATTGAGAGAGTAGTAACAGTCCCATAGGATTTTCTAGGTTGTAGACTTTATTGAGGTTGATTGGTGGTGGTGGTGTGCTGGTGGAGTCGATTCATACTCAAAACAACCCTGTATAGGGTTTCTGAAGCTGTAAATCTTAATGGGAGCAGATAGCCTTATCTTTCTCCCATGGAATCGCTGGTAGTTTCAAACGGCTGGTAGTTTTGAATTGCTCACCATGAGGTTAACAGCCTGACTTGTAACCACTACCTTACCAGAGCTCCATGGGGGTAGATTGCAAGGTCTTTTATCCCACTTGTCAGTGACTGGGCTTGACTTATCAACTGAGTGTTTAACAACTATACTATCAGAGATTCTTAAAACAGGTTCATTGTTGTCAAGTGCTGTCGAGTTGGTTCCAACTCATAGAAGCCCTGTGTAGGGTTTCCTAGTAGCAGCTAGTGGGTTTGAATCACTGACCCCATGGTTTGCAGTCTAGTGCTGATCCTACAGCACCATACCAGGCAGGTTCAGAAGACACAAAATCAGGAGTTGTTTGAACATATTAAATTAAAATGCCTATAAGACATTCAAGAAGTTCTGGTAACATAGTGGGTTATGAGTTGGACTGCTAACTGCGAGGTCAGCAGTTTGAATCTACCAGCTGCTCTGTGAGAGAAAAATGAGGCTTTCTGCTCCTGTAAAGATTTACCATCTCAGAAACCCTACACAGGTTATTTATGAGTCGGAACCAACTCCATGGTACTTAACCATCACCACTACCATCAGATATTCAAAGAAGCCCTTATGGTGCTGTGGGTTACGTGTTAGATTGCTAATTGCAAAGCTGGTGGTTCAAACCCACCAGATGTTCTACAGGAAAACTATGAGGTTGTCTGCTCCCATAAAGATTTATAGTCTTGGAAACCCTAAGGAGCAGCTTTACCCTGTCCTACAGTGTCACAATGAGTTGGAGTTAACTCAGTGCATGGATTTATTATTTTTTTAATCAGATATTCAAAGAAGACACTGAACAGGAAGATACAAATTTGGGATAGCCAAGAATGTAGATGATATTTAAAGCCATAAGCTGGATGTAGTTAAGAGTGTAGATACAAAACAGAAGAGGTCCATCCCTCTGGAGATCAGAAATACATGGGAAGGCTAGCAAAAAGAAAAGAGAAGCAGTGCAGTAGGAAGAAATTAACAATAAAAGTGTCATTCTGGAAAACAAATGAAAAATATTTAAAGAGGGAGTGTGATCTGATGTGCTAAAAGTGGCTGTCAGGTTGAATGAAAACTGAGACTAGATCCTGAGGTATTGTGCATAGTAGTACCACCAGTGGTTCTTATAAGAAGATTCCCATTGTACTTCTGGGAGCACACAACTGAATGGAATGGGTGCAAGAATATTAGAAGACAGACAAAAACGCCTCTTTATGGAGTTTTGCTATAAAGGGACCAGAGGATGGGTCATTAACTAGAGGGAAATGTGGAGACAAAGAGCTTATTAGTGACAGAAAATATCATAGCATGTTTATATGTTGATAAGAATGATTCAGTGGAAAGGGAAAATCTGATTATAAATCAGAGGGCATAGAATTAGATTGATGTTCTTCAGCAGGTGATGGGTCATGAAGAAGGGTACTAAGAATCACTCATACAAGACAGCAGGAGGAAAGCGGCAGGGCACAAGGAGACCAGGATAGGCAGATTGTTGCAGGAGTGGTGGAATTTTATGGGTAAGCATCTTTGGATACTTTTATTTTCTTTGTGAAAAAAGAAGCATGGTTTTGTAGCTAGAGATGGAGAAAAGGGACTGAAATATTGGAGGTGAGGAGAGAGAGAATGTGAAAAATGGTAATCAATTTCTAATCAGATTAGAAAGATTACTATTTATAGATTACCATTTAAAGAAAAATCATAACAGTTAGGTGCTAAAAGTAGCATATATAATTTATCTTCTCAGAGCATCCTATTTTAGCATGCTACTTTGTTAAAGTGATTAATATAGACAAACACTGAAGCACTAAAATAAAGCATAACTCCACAATTTGAGGGAATGGTAAGAAATGAAATGAAAATCCTAAATAAAAAAAAAAAAACAATACGAAAAACCTAACAAAAAATTAATAACAAATGATACAATATCTGTGGGAAGAGTTTTAGAAAATAACACACCAACTAACAAGTTGTCACTATGTATCTGATTAGCATATGTCTCCCAAGAAGTAGTGACTATATATAAAAATGGATAGGTTTACAAGATATTCAGAAAATGAAATTGATAATGACAACAACAACAGATTAGAATAGCACAATTCACCCTGTTGAAATGGAAAGATGCTTCAGCCCATTCCAAAGGCCATTCACAGGTTTGAAAATATTTTCATGGCTTCTGGAATGGATTTATCTACTCTGAAAGAAAGACTACTTTCAACAAACCGTAACAATTGGTTATCCTGTCTATGTGGCCTTCACACTCAAGCTCTTCTGTTTAGGCAGAAGGTTTTTGTACATGAGACTATATGGCGAATTAAATCTTTAGATGGTGATCATTCATAGATGAATTCAGAAAGTCCTAGAGCTAAGAGCATCTTTTGAGATCATCAAGTTCAACTTCTTCATTCTGAACCTAAAAGCTACTAAATAAATAGACCCTGGAACTCAAGGGGCTCTACATGGTTAATAAAATGACAAATACCTACCAGGAGCACCCATCTATGTACTTGTTAAGTGCCATAGAGTTGGTTCCCAGGCATAGTAACCCTGTATGGGGTTTCCAAGGAGCAGCTGGTAAGTCTGAACTGCCAACCTCGTGGTTCAAACTGACCTTACAGTCCAGTGCTTCTCCTATAGCACCACATCAGGATCCATCTATGTAGAGATACTGTCAAATACACTTTACTCAATTCACTGTAAAAGGAGAGACTGATAATACAACCTATATGCCTTGCTCCTTCTCCCCAAGATTTGTCATTTTAACAAAGTATACACACTTTTACAACTTCTAGAATTGGAAAATAATGGCTTTAAAATGGTATATAGTTTTTTTCAAATCTCATGACTGAAACTGATAAGCATCTGCTTTGAAAATGAAAGTGGTACATATTGATTTCTCTAATATCTGTGGATAAAATGAGCTGAGCTGAGGTTGAACATTTGTTACAGTATGTTAACCATAGAAAGCTTTTTGTTGACTCCAATTCATCCACTTACCCTTCTTAAGCAAGGCATCATTTTTGGCCTCAGAGATATTAACAGTTACATAAGACAGTAAATTAAATTTATAATTCCACACTGACCCAGGCCATTGTGTTTTCAATAGCCTCATATGGATGCGAAAGCTAGATAGTGAATAAGGAAGATCGTAGAAGAATTGATGCCTTTGAGTTGTGGTGTTAGAAAATACTGAAAGTGCCATGGACTGCCAGAAGAACCAATAGATCTGTTTTGGAAGAAGTGCAGCCAGAGTGCTCCTTGGAGGCCAGGATGGCTAAGCTTCGTCTCTCCTACTTTGGACATATTGTCCGGAGGAAACAGTCGTTGGAGAAGGATGTCATGCTGGGTAAGGTGGAGGGTCAGAGAAAAAGAGGAAGACCTCTAACGAGATGAATTGGCCGGGTGGCATCATTGATGGACTCAAGTGTGGCAGCGGTGGTGAGGTTGGCCCAGGATCGGACATTGTTTCTTTCTGCTGTGTGTGGGGTCGCTACGAGTCGGTTCCGACTCGATGGCACCTGACAACAACAACAACAAGTTAACATGTACCAACAGAAAGCTAATCAGATCTGCCAGTTAAAGGAGAGAAAGATGAGGAGAAACTCTATGTACTATGATGGAGTATAGAGGTTTCTGATTGGAAAAACACAACAGATATATTCTGATGAATGATGGAAGGAAACAGCCCCAAAGCTGTCTGCCTTAGGATTCCATTTCCAGTACAAAGTCTACAAAAAATCCCCTGGTCACAAGGGCATTCTTCACAAACAATACCACCTCCTCTGCTTTGTTCTTGATTTCATTATATATTTCATTACTCTTACCTATTTTCAGTTGTAACATGGCTTTCTTCATATCCTTCTCTACTGACTGCCAGTCAACCTTGACGTAGCCAGTATGGTTGGCAAGCTGAAGGAGGGAAAATCCACTGCTCACAGCTGTTGCTTCTAACTTCCTAATCTTCTGGAATATGAAGTCCATGCAGCATCCAGTGACACCTCCTATGAGCAGGTGGCTGGTTACACTATACTTTTCAGCAGAGGGCCCAGATTCTTGCCCAAACAGCTTATGCTATCATGACTCTGCTTAGCAAATTCTTCAAGTTCCAGTGACTCAAAATTTCCCTCAAAATTTGCTTGACTAGACGCAGCCATTTTGGTGAGTTAGTCTCATAAGGTCAAAAGGTCTCAGTGTAGTGAGACAGGGACATGCAAGTCATTGTTGGCAGCTGGCTTCTGGTATATAGGGCAGAAGACAGTCCCAGCAAAAGAGCTCCATGATACTTTTTAATATTCTTTTCCAACATCATAACTCAAATACATCAATCCTTCTACCGTCTTCCTTATTCATTGTCCAACCTTCACATGCATATGAAGCTCCTGAAAATACCATGAGTTGGGTCAGTTTTGTTGTCGTTGTTGTTAGGTGCCATCGAGTCAGTACTGAATCATAGTGACCCTATGCACAACAGAACAAAACACTGCCCAGTACAGAACAAAACATCACAATTGTTGCCATGCTTGAACCCATTGATGCTGGCACTTGGCCAATCCATCTTGCTAGGGGTCTTCATCTTTTTTCTCTGACCCTCCACCTTACCAAATACGATATCCTTCTCCAGTGACTGGTCCCTCCTGACAATATGTCTGAAGTATGAAAGACCAAGTTTGGCCTTCCTGGCCTCCAAGGAGCACTCCAGCTGCACTTCTTCCAATACAGATCTATTTGTTCTTTTGGCAGTCCATGGCACTTTCAATATTCTCCTCCAACACCATAACTCAAAAACATCAATTCTTCTATGGTTTTCCTTATTCACTGTCCAGCTTTCACATGCATATGAGGTTATTGAACAAATAAATCTGTGTTGGAAAAAGTATCGTCAGAATGCTCCTTAGAAGTGAGGATGATGAGGCTCATGTAACTTTTGACATGTCATTAGGCGGGGCAATGTCCTAGAGAAGGCCATCATGCTTGACTGATAAAATATAGGGTCAGTGAAAAAGAGGAAAACCTTCAATAAGATGGACTGACACATGGCGTAACAATGAGATTAAATGAAGAAATGTTTGATGCATAGGACAAAGCAGTGTTTCATTCTTCTGTACACAGGATCACTATGAGTCACAGTCTACTTGATGGCACCTACAAACAACAACGTTAATATTTGACACATCTGGCTCTTGAGTGGCAGCTGCCTTATGGTCGGATGCACTATTGCTTGTGTGAGTGTAATTCACAAGTAGCTTCATAGTATTCCCTCAAAAGGTGTGTGGTTCTGGAAAATATCTGTCAGTCTGCATTTATTGTGCTCCAGGAGGACTGCCAGTCTTTTTGCTTGGACAGAACCATAGGATCTTTGCTATCTAATATATATGAGGGGGCTTAAAAAAGTTCATGGAAAATGGAATTGAAAAAAAATAGAATTTTCCCATGAACTTTTGAAGTCCCTTGTGTATACTATGAGACCGAGACTACATAAATGGGCTACCTAACATTTCCATTTGAATGTAGAACAGGCATTACAAACACCAGACCAAGGAGTCTTGATTTCTTTACCTCTCCAAACCTGCTCCTCTACCAGTCTCCCAGGTTAGCAATTGGCATCATCATTTAGGTTGCTCAAAGCAAAATCCTAGGAGTCATCTTTGATTCCTCTCTTTTCCTTCTCCTAACATTTAATCTATTATTAAGAGCTTTTATTTTTATGATTTCCATTTCTCTCCTTCTCCTAGTCCATGACCCCAGTCTATTCTACCATCATCTTTTGTGAACACTTGCAATACTTTCTATTATTTCTACTTCTGTTCTGCCATCACAATCCATTTTTCACCCAGCAACCAAGACAACCTTTACATGCATAAAAAACAATTACACAGTTTACATTTAGACATAAAATTCTCCAGTGGCTTCCTGGTCAACTGGGGATAAAATCTATAAGAACAAAATCATTAAGAAGTCTGTACTCTGTAATGCCAGTGTCTTAGACTGGGTTCTTTAGAGAAGCAAAACCAATGAAGCTTATATATGTGTATATAAAGAGAAGCTCATATCAAGAAAATGCCTCACACAGTTATAGAGGTGGGCAAGTCTCAAATCCGTGGACCAAATGAACCAAGATCGGCAGGTCACATGGCAGTCAGGCTGATAAGATGGCAGACTGCTAACACTCCCAGGATGGACAGACAATAGAGCAGGCCACTGGCTCAAATCCAAAGAATCTCAGGTCAGATGATGAGCCAGATGCAACAGAGAGTCAGCAAATTTTGCCCCAGTGTCCAATACATTGGAAGCAGGCCACACCCCCAATAAAACTTCCTTCCAACTGACTAGCTGCTCACAGTAGATCTTATCATGGAGTTCATTCCATTGTATTAGATCTCATCATGGGGGATTACAACAACATCTTTACTGCCAAACCAACCTTAACTATCAAAGTCCACCCTTTGTCAACTTGGCTCCTATATACATATATCCTTAAACCATACATAATTTTGAAATAAAGAAAATTATAAAGTCATACTTGAGCCTAACATGATACAACTAGCATACATACAACTGAAAATGTATTAACAACATTTATAGCTTGTATTTTATAAGTGAAAAGAACAAACATATTTGATGCACACATACAAGGAAAATTATTCCTAACAATTATAGTCCTCCTTTCTGCAACTGGTTATGTGGCCATAGCTGGTATTTAGAACTACCTTTTTCTACTACCCATTCCTTACTCACTTTGCCCTTGGCAAGCACATGGCTATCTCCCTGTTGTGGTGACCCAAATCTTCATTCTTGAAAGCTCTGGGCCATTAGTAGATAAGTCAGAATTGGGTTGTTGTAGCTTACCACTGACTTTAATCACTAGGCATGGTACTACTCAGAGACATCCTAAGGCATCTCCTGGATTCAACACATATTTTTCCTTAACTCCATTATGTAATATCAATCTGATTTCCCCTTGGTAATCAGGATCAATGACACCACTCAGGACAGTAACTCCCTTCTTTGCCTGTTGATCCAGAGGCATCCAAAGTGGCCATTAGGCATTCATAACTTCCAGTTCAATGGAATCCCTAGATGAGAGTATTCCTTCCTTTGAAACAAAAACATCTAGACACGAAGAGTACAGGATCGCAGGGACAGGCAGCAAAAATGTTGGGATTGGATCACTAGGAGTAATAGTGAGAGGTGCCATTCTCATTTCCATCCTTTGGTTCTTGGGTTTGTGAGTCCTGGTTTTTGGAGAAACAGTACCAAATATTGGATGCTGGTTTAGAGCATATACAGCCTCCTGAAAACCAGTGTCCCAACTCTGTAAGGTACTGACACCTAGATGGCACCATAATTGTGTCCTTAGAATGCTATTTCATTGTTCTATCAAGCCAGCTACTTCAAGAATGATGAGGAATGTGGTTGCTGTTGTGCGCCATAAAGTCAGTTCTGACTCATGTGATCCTGTGTAGGGTTTCTGAGAATGGCTGGTGGTTTGAACTGCTGACCTTGTGGTTCTACTTAGTGCTTATCCTATAGTAACTTATCAGGACTCAGGAACAGTACACAACCAGTGAATTCTATTTGCATGTACTCACTGACACATTTCATTTGCTGTGAAGTGAGTCCTTTGATCTGAGGCAATGTTGTGGGAAATACCAAGATGGTGGATAAGACTTCTGTAAATTCATAATGGTAGTTTTGGCAGAAGCATTGTAGTCAGGGAAGGGAAACCCATATCCAGATAAGTAAGTGCCTATTCCAGTAAGAACAAAATGCTGCCCTTTCCATAATGAAAGTAGTCTGATGTAGGTTGTGAGGTTGCTGGCTAACCTCCCTGTATCACTTTCTGCTGTTGACAGATTGAGCACCAAGCAGTGGATGTAGACAAATCAGCCTTGGTGAGCAGATCCCATTCATAAACTCCATCACTGACAACATGGCTACTTTTTTTTTGAGTCCATTGAGAAAGAGAATGATTAATTTACACAGAACATGCCATCCTAGCCATTTAATTGTTCAGCTCCTCCTCTGTTGGTAAGCAGTCACATGAGACATAAATGGCTTCACTGTTTTTGGCCATTCAGAGAGGTCATCCACATACCTCTTCCCCACACCTCCTTGTCATACCAATTTTTCAATTATTTTTCTACCAAGTCCTTAACCAAATCACTGGACATTTCTACGTCTAAGTCTACTGAACAACCAGGTGCACTGCTTGAAGTCCTGTCCATTGGGAAATTTTCCCTTCACCACTATACTTCAGGAAAGTCCCAGAAAGGGTCTGTAATGCTGCTGATGCCCCCTTTTCAATAGTGCCTGCATATCATGTAAAAACATCTGAAAATCAATCATGACTTTTCCAGTCAACTGATAATGAAGAATTAACTATGAGGCTATAGGTACAGACTGAGAAAGGAAAGGTAATGTGACAGGAATAGAGACCATGGGGATTTTGGCCACTTCTACATGCAGCCTTCAGATCCTGCTCAATTCTGATCTCATATAAACCATTTTCATGTAATCATAGGGTACTGCTGTGTACATCCAAATTTCTGACTCTGTAGGTCAGACAATAAGCAGTTCGCAGTGGGCAGCACTTTTCACATGATGTCTTGGTGGCTAAGGGTCAGGTGTTCAGTCTCTACTAAGGCCCAGTAATGATCCAAAAGCTCTTTCTCAAAAGAAGAGTAGTTATCTGCAGAGGATGGCAGGGCTTTGCCCTAAAATCCTAATGGTCTGTGCTGTGATTCACTAATAAGGCCCTGCCAAAGACTCAAAACTGCGTCTCTGTCTGCTACTGACACTTTTACACAGCAGCTTGAACCTGTGCAGAGCCTTTTCTTGTTCCAGAAACCACTTAAAATTAGCAGCTTTCGAGTCACTTGATAGAATAGGTTGGATTAGCACACACAAATGAGGCATATGTTGACTCCAAAATTCAAAGAGGCATTATACTTTATTTTTAGTTGTGGGAGGAGTCTGATGCA